CATCGAGTCAGACCCAACTCATAGCAACCCCTCCTTGGGTTTCCAAAGCACTATCACTATCACTACGGAAGTAGATTGCCCAACCTTTCTTCCGAGGTGGGTTTGAACCGCCAGCCTCCTGGTAAGCAGTCAAATGCCTTGCAAATGTAAGGTGTTCATGGCCTACCAAGGGGATTGCATAACTTAGTAATAATGTAAATAAAGTACATGGCATCATTGAGGGGAGGGAACTGTGCAAATAAATTGTATAGAACCCTTTTGTGAAGATGTCACTTTTGCCATCTTGCTAGGCTTAAAATGAGCCATCCCAGAGGTGTAGAAGGAGGATCTCATTACTATCAAGAAAGAAGAACCAGGAGTGGAGCATGACCTTGGACCCAAGATCCCTGCACTGGGAAGACAGAGATGGCAGCAGAGTCAACAGAACCAAGAGACTGGCATGAGACAGAGTGGTGGGCTTCCTGGCCCATGGAGCGAGAAAGCTGAGTGCTGCAGGCAGGAGACTTGCTGGCAGACTTGCTGCCCTCTCTGGGCACCTATCTTCAGAGCTAAAGGAACTTTCTAACACTTGCCTGTGCAGTGCAGAAGCCAAGGACAGAGAGAAGCTTGCCTGTGGCATGGCTGAGATGAAGCTGTCCTGATTGAAGAACTGTATCCTGAGTCGTTTTTGATCCTGAATTGTGACCTGTTACTCCCTTAATAAATCTCATAATTATGAGTATTGTCTGTGAGTTCTGTGTGACATTTACAATGAATTATCAAACCCAGCAGAGAACAGAGAGTGATTTGGGAGGGACAGTTGGTGTCAGAATTGGCAAAAGGTTGGAAGATGGTGGCATGTTTGACCTCTGCTTCATAGGAATCACCCTTGGGCTGTTGATATTGTAATGGATTCTCCTTCCTCCTTGTGAAGTTAAAAGAGGTCACAAAGGATGCCACATATATAAAGGTCAAAGTATGGAGCCCAAAAAAGGGCAGAGGGGGAAATAAAAAAACAGAAAGGAGGAGAAATTTTGTGGCTAAGGGAGCAGGGTTTTGAGGAGAAATGTATGGCTCAGAAACAACAAAGGGGTCCAGTGGAGAAATATATGGAAATCCCTGTTAAACTTGGTGACTGGGAGGACATGAGTTTCCTTTTCCAGAACCACTTCAGAAAACTGAATGCGTTAGAGTCAATTGCAGTGGAATGAGGAAAGAATTAAAAGGAAGAAAGTGAAAACAGGAAGTTTAGACTATGCTTTGAAGAGCTTGGCTGAAAAAATGGGTAAAACACGAGTGACTAGAGGTTACCTAGAGGATGAGGGACAAGGACTAGAAATATTTCACACTATTCTTGATATTCATCTAAAATAACAAATACGAATCTTTCTGATGTGTATTTTCTTTCATTGATCTCAATTTCGACTCTCTACATCCTGTCCCCATCACTACTCCTGTCCTGGAAACACACACTGAGGCAACTATATAAATGACCTTGTAATACAACTACAATGTCAAATATCCCTGTGATGGTTAATTTTGTTGTATCAACTTGGCTAAACACTAGACTAGTTGTTATTCTATAATGTAATCTAATGCAATGTAATGCCGTCACCTCCATAATGTATTCTAATGTAACATAATCAATCAATAAGTTAAAAACGGAGTTTCCTTAGGATGTGTTCTGTTTTCAGACCATAAATAGATACTTTGGAGAACCCACTCTCACTTTGTAGGTCCCAGGTCTTGAAAGGAGTGTCGGTGCAAGGAAGCTACCACAGACACAATAATGCAAAAGCAAAAGGAAAGTTTATTGGCTAGCTCGAGCTAGGGTCTCCGCTTACACCAACACAGAGATTTGGGCAAAAGACCCCGTGCTCTACTACAATTACAATTTTATAGGAAAAATACAAGGTGGAGTAACACAAAAGCAAAGAGGTCCCTCTCTCCTTTGATTGGTTGTTGCTACG